ATCCAATTGCTTGTTCTTGGAACAAAAAGCAAAAGAAGCAGAGGAAGAATATGCTGGTCAGTTTGAGAATTTTATGGGTAAGGTTCAGATGCTGGATAAGAGGTTGATGGGCCTTGAGGATATAGTGAAGGACCTCAGAAACACGAGTCCAAAAAGTAAAGTTCCAGAAAGTGAGGATAAAATTTCAGAAACTCCTGACTGCCCCGCAGATGAATGATTTGCTTTGCCAAATCTTCAGTTCCATGGTTGAAATGCAGGTAAATGCAAACTTATGGTGCTTTATGTTGTCTTCTACCTTGTCATGTATGATTATCTCCATGTTCCCATCCTCTGCTTTGCATGATGCCTTATTTCAATATGTCAATCGCCGAAGGTCTTTTTTGACTGTTCCCCTTTCCTATTATATGTTGGTCTATTTTTTCATCATTTTTCTGTCACTCACCACTTTTATGTTGCAGTTTACATGATTATTTCAATTAGACTAAAATATTTAGTCACTACAGATGTTGGACACTTTGAAATTGAGTCTATAAAGAAAAGGAACAGTAAAGACTTGGAAATCAGATATTTCAAAATAAATTATTGGAATATTGGAACATATTTAATCATCCAAAATACATGACCTACTATGACTTGCATAGAGATGTAGAGGAGAAAGTTGAATAGAGTATGGTATTATTATTTTAAGATACAAGTGTTAAAACATCACTTCAAGAGCTAAAACGGAAGAACGCGTAGTTGAACATAGATCAAATTGAAGATTAAACTAATAGAATACAAGTTTTTATGGTTAGAGTAGGAGATAATTCCAATTAAGTAAATGGGTCTAATTGTTTTTGGACTAGCTAAAATGGAAAGTAGGTCATTGTGGACGGATATTTGCTTGCTACAGGTCTAGTTTTTCTGAGGTTCTGCATGAGACATAACTTATTTGTTGGGTTTTTGCTTTACCATTTCCTTGTTTACCTCATCCTTCAAGTGACTACATTCAAGTGGATCTAGGCTCAGTTACTATTTCAACCCAGTCTCCTTCATTCAACTAAGCCATTCCTACTATCTTTACAATCACGGACCTGTACTCTGCTCTTTGTTTCGGGTGAAATGTGCACTTTGTCATTGCAAAGTTTTTAAGTTGTATGCATCAATCTTTACTCTCATGTCTGCCTTTTCTTGGAAATTTTACTCTCAAACATCCAAAATTTGATCATTTTCCTTTTCTTCAAAACATTTATTTTCTTTGCCCCAAACCTTTATATGAATCTTCACATGTCCCTTTTAATGGATATTAAGATTTACCTTTACATATAATATATATATATATATATATATATATATATAAATTATTATTTTTTGAAAAGGACGTTTATAAACTTTTCTTTTCAGTCTTCTAAAGGAGGAAGTACAGTCTTCTTCCGTTCTTTTGTTTCTCTTTTCTCTCCTTTTATTTGTATTTTAATTTTCAATTCTTCTATTGTCGGTGCTTGCTATCATCTGATTTTGCATTATCATTTGGGAACTCTGTTATCTTTTGAGATTCTGATATAGGATGTATAAAGCACCAAAAAGAGAGCTTCAAGATTTTCAAAAAGGGGTATGAATTGTCCTGCATTTCTGTATCTATAGTACGGGAATGAACTGTATTGTATTGGTCAATTCTCTTTGCTAAATTGAAAATTGGTTTTCTGCTGTATGATTTTGCTTTCTTGTCGTGGAGCTGTCTTTCATTTGAGATCTTAACCTTCTACATTATGAAAAATGTTTAGGATAATAAGAGAATCAAAAACATATCAGCCATCACTTATTGCCAAATAAATTTTGAAAGAGAACGTCTTAGTTGTGACCATAATGTCTTATTTCTAAATCACCTCCAACAAAGAAAAGGAAGATAGAATACATCTAGTCTGTCACTTTTCCTCTCGGATGTTTCAGTGATAAAATTTCTATGAAGTTTGTGTATATTATCAATGAAATATTCGAAATTATACATTATTCTGCAGTCCTTAGTAATAATGCAGATTTGGCATATCTCTAAACCATAGTTGTGCCTGCTAATGCTTATAGCTCAATCTAGAAACTGATGTGTACAACGATGGATATGTAAAGCAACATTTTTAGTAGAAGTGTTTGGGGATACATTACAAAACATAAAAAAGTTACCGACTTTGCTTTTCCACGCGAAAGATCATCGACCTTAAGCATTGTCTGCATACTTCCGAGTAGACCTGTTTTGATGTTCCCTAAAGCTTCTTGTTATCTGCATAACCTGCTTATCTATGTATCTAATATATTTTTCTTATGACAATACAGGATTTTGCAGATGTTTAACTTACATTTGACATGGTGCTTCTTATACTACTGCCGGAAGGTCGTTATGCAAGCATTTTGGAGAAGGCTTACTATAGCTCAGGCTGATTTATCTAAGTTTTTGTTTTGGGGCCTTCTTTGTAATGCTTTAGAAGTCTCAAGTACTTAAAATTCCATCAGGTATTGATGGATGTAACTCTAATGTGATTATTGCATAGGGATGTGACTTTATTTTATGTATTAGTTTTTGGATTTACAATAGTATATATATACCATGTAATGGTATTGACTTTTTCCTCAACTCTTCAAGCTTGGTCCATTTTTCTTTGGACTTGATATCTGGTTATTTGCAATATAGTTCAAGTTTGGTCTATTGGAAACAATCTCTCTACCAATGTTCTTATGTTCACGAGTTCGGTCTAAAAATACACTTTTTGGGCATCATATATCAAACAGACGTTTTCTAAAAATGCAAATGGGTGAATTGTCCACCCCTACCGGGCACTTCACCTACAAATGGATGAATTGTCCACCTCTATCGAATGTATGTAAATGTGAAGAGTATTGTAAAATGATAATATTGAGGACTCCATGTTGAATAGACAGTTAATATAGTAGGGGGGTGAACTCTTTGATTTGGTTTGTGTTTTTAGGGAGGGTCCATTTTGGTATGTGTTTTTAGGGAGGGTCCATTTTGGTATGTGGTGCCTAAAAAATGTTTGTTTTAAGCTCGGACTCATCTGTTCACACTCTAATCTCTTTAAAACGTTACTTCTGAGATTATATTAGGTATGTTGTTGTTGTCATCATCTCGTATCCAAATATTACTGGTCCGGCCTGTCTAGAGTCGCATTGGGTAGACCACTAAGATGGATAAAACATTTATTATCGAAAGGTTTTTCATTTAATTCTCCAGCTCAAGATTCAATTAAGAATGAAGTAATTTCAACCCATTTCAATTATTGTGATGGAAATTCAAAACATAGCATGTGCTTTTCATAGAATGACAAATCTGAAAGTTGAATTATTATCATTGTTGTAATAAATGGAGTACTTCCAATTTTTTAGCTCTAACTATAAATTTCAGCTGAATTATATGCATAATTTTATGTGCATGTGCTTAACTTTATGAAAACTTTATTTGTACATTTTTGGCTTTAAAGAATTTATCTTTTTTTGCAATACTTTTTAACTTTTATTTTGTTTCTATATTTTATATTATTGGCCCCAGTTACTATTGACTGACAGTCAAAGATGACTGACCACAAACAATGAAATTCACTATATAGTATTTAACTCACTGTAAATTTTTAATTATGAATTTAGAATTTAATATTCATGAAGGCTAATAAAAAATGTCACGTTAATATCATACTTCTATCGTTTCATTTTAACTATCGTTTTAAACTAGACGAAAGGCTCAAAATAGTCCCTCATCTTTGGGTTAAGGCTCAAAGTCATCCTTGAGTTTTCACATGGAGCACTAATAGTCCCTCATGTTTGCAATATTGGTGCACTTTTGGTCCTCTTCAAAAAATTTGCCTATCTTTTAACATTAATTTTGTCCACAATTTTATCTAAGGAATGTCCAATCGTCTTTTTATATATTTAGTAGAAATAATAACTATATGTGAGAGAAGGTGATAAAAAGAACACATTGTTCTGTTCAGTAGAAATATTACTGCAGCTAAACTAAGAACATCTTAACATATGACGTTGGAAGAAAAGAAAAAAAAATGTACTATTGCACGTGAAATTATCGTGATGAACCTCTCGACTTTACCTGCAATACAATTTCTACTTAACAAAACAAGATGTTTTTCTTCTCACATTCTCTCATATGGAGTTATTATTTCTACTAAATATATAAAATGACGATTGAACATATCATACATAAGTTATGGATAAAATCAATGTTAAAAAATATGCAAAATTTTGGAGGAGGACCAAAAGTGCACCAATATTGCAAACATGAGGGACTATTAGAGCTCCATGTGAAAATTCAAGGATGACTTTGAGCTTTAACCCAAAGATGAGGGACTATTTTGAGCCTTTCCTCTTTTAAACTATATCTTATATTATTAATTTTCTTTTATGAGCATAGAAAAAGCTAAAACGATAATTAAAATGAGACTGGGAGAGTATTATTAAATTGCATACTAAGAATGGAACATAATAAAAGCAAAAATACATGTAAGACGAATGCACGATACTAACCAGTTGAGATTAAGGGGGCATTTGACCATGAAAATTGTGAGTATTTGAAAAAAAAGTATTTTTTTGTTTTCAAAGTGATAAATGATATTTGAAAATTTGAGTTGTGTTTGATTATGAATACAAATTAAAGTTGTATTCAAATTTTTGTGAATAATTTAGAGTGAAAAAAATCTTTTGGTGTTTTAATTTCGAAATTCAACTTGAAGTTGATTTCTTATATGGCCAAATGTGTTTTCTAAAGTTCCACTCCCAAAAACACCCCCTAGGGTTCCATATATTTATCAAGAACCTTTCTAGTCTCGCCTATCAGTCATTTACATATTAATGTAGCAATAAGTACACAATAACAACATTATATTCAGTGTAACCTCCCAAAAAAAATTTCAACATAACAATAAGTATTAGATAGAAAACTGCTATATAACAGTAGAATGAATAGAAAAGATTCATACAACCGATTCCAACTAATCCGAAATTGTGATTTCAAATACAATAAAATGAAAGAAATATTTACATTTACCAAGATAATACATAGTAACAAGATAAAAAAAATAATTAAAAATAACAACCACTCACAAGAAAAGCACTGACTAACCCTGACATCAAACAGCTAACTGACAAGTCACAATCCCCAATACAAAGAACTCCACATGCCCCCTTCCAACAATAAAATTTTTGAAAGTAGTTCATAGAAATATTTTCTAATTAAAAAAATAGAGAAATTAATGATTGAAAAATAAAAATAAAAATAATAAGACACTCATCCCTAAGCAGAAAAACAATTTAAGTTGTTTATATGGTCCCCTAGAAATTGAGAGATCAATGCAAGAATTCAAGTGACCTTATCTTGTCCCCTCCATAATAAGAAACTTTCTTGGTAGGTCCAAACACCACATGAATCTGCTTAGTGCTTCTCCTCAAGCTACATTCTTTTTTCATCCTGCATACAAATAATGGGGCTATTAGGGTTCGTGGAACGATCGCATCTCCAAAAGATGTAATACAGACAATCTATCGTAACACAAACATTAATAGCTGGTTTTTCAGTTCAAACTTGTGCATATATAATTTTTATCATTTCTTCTAATACTTCCTTTTCATGGAAATTATTGTTTCCTTGTAGGGAAGAGTCTTCCACCATTATTTCATAGATTAGGATTGACCATCATTGGTATCTTTATTATTATTATACTATTAATTATGACATTACTATTTGTTGGTACCAATTTTGGTCCCCTCTTCCCACCCTCCCACCCCTACTATTTATTGGTATTCTCAACAATATGCTAAGTATTTTTTTTATTAACACACTCATCTAACTAATTCAGATTCATATCACCTATAAAGAATTCATTAAAGTAAAAAAGCTTTCTATTATAAATTTTATCTATTTCTAGAGAGCTCAAACTCGAGGTCATTAACTAATTAAGAGTGAAGAGAAACTCATCCATCACATTGGATCGTTGATGGTAACCATGAATAAAAGTCATCTTAGGCGAAGAGTGGGTTGATGCAGATTCTCGCCAGAAAATTATGTGGTGTATATATATATATATATATATATATATATATATTAAATGTTGAAACAATATTTCTACAAATATAAGGTCTGAGTATATTTTACTCCCTCCGATCCAAATCTCATTGGATATGTTGTTGTTGTTATTGTTATTGTTGTGGAGGTTAAATATTAGCAATTATATGAGTGTATATTTAATTTTGTATATTTTTTGTCAAATTTTCTGACTCCGCCACGGATGATAACACATATAAATCTTACTGAAATAACAACAAAAGTGTACCTATAGCTGAAAAATCAGTTGACAAGCTGTTCTTTCTTCTCAGAGCCATTAACATCTTGTTGTGTCTTTATTGGGTGTTCATCATCATCATCATCATTTTCCATCTTCTTTAAGTTCTGTTGGTAATATATTTCCCTCAACCTCTCTATTTCTCTCTTCAATGCTTCTTGATGAGCTATATTCCCACACACACAAAAAATAAAAATAAAAAATTAGCGACGAACAAAATTTCGTAGCTGAACTAACAACAAAAATCACATATTAATCCCATTTAATTTATTTATGAATAAATAATGGATTATACGAAAAATCAATTAGCTCCAGATTACCAATAAATTTTAGCTAATTAATTTCATATTTTCTAGAAATGAAAAACGTAACATTATATTCAACAATCAAGAATAATGATTATCAGTTAAGCATCTTTTATCGAAAAATTATACCAGGTATACAAATCAAAGATTATATGTAGAATTGGGACTAATTGATGTAGCTAGCTAGGGAGGTATTAAAATAATTAATGAGAGTACAAAAGAAGCTACATATATAGAAAAATGAATATATTATAATATATAGTTGAGTGAAAAAGAAGTAAATTTTACCATCTTTAAATATTTTATCTTGGGCAAGAGCTGCAATTCTTTGCTTGAGGACACTATTATCAACATTTAGAACCAAACGTTGGTGGTCCAAAAATGCAACTCTTGGTGACAATACTGAAACTTCAGCCTTCATAAAACCAAGAAAAATCAATTAATTAATTAATATAAATACTCAAAATTATTAAAAAATTAAACAACTTTTAATGTCATTAATTACTATAGAAAATAAAATTATTTTGCTTACTTGAAGTGTAGTAACGCTACGTTCTAGCTCTGATATGTACTGTAATTTCCTCACCCGTGACCTTTGTGCTGATTGTCTATTTGCCAAGATCCTATATTAAAACCAATAATTCAAAACAAAAATATAATTATTACCAAATAATTATCAATAAACATTATATAAATTCCACAATTTTCTTAGACATTGTAGTATAACTTTACTATTATTACCATATTAACCTCAGAAAATTATGTTCGCGCACTAAATTATTCTGAATTTGGAATCAAATAATGCCGGTGTTATATTAATGAACTATGGTTAAGAAGGAAGTTATGTAAAAGCAACGAGACGAAATATTGAAAGTTGTAATTTGTACTATCATAATTGTATAGAGTTTCTTAAGTTAGTCAACTAATAATTATTATGTCAGTAGAAATGTGACTTTTTTATGTAATAACTATTAGTTGAGTGACTATATGAAAAATCAATTCTTCTGATTAACAACACATCTGTTAAAAGATAATGCAGGTGTGTTATAAGATGAGTTCAGGAAAGAACAGAAATCTCGTGTGAAACAGAAGGAATAATTTTACCTTTTAATTCTCTTCGGATCGATGATTTTTTCGCTAGAACTATCAGCAAGATCATCAGCAGTAGTTTGTTCATTATCAGACTTGCATGAACTTTCAACTTCTTCAGGTTCAATCTTAAGCTGTTGCGGATGCTGCTCCTCTCCATGAATAACTTTCTTTTCTTCGTGATTAATACTGTTATGATCCGAAGGGGACGAAGGATTGGAGTTGTGTTCATTATTATTATTTGCAATGTCGTCATTATTAAACATAGACATAAGTTGTTCATCGTCGAATCGATCGAATTCCGTGCCCGTTGTTGTCCGAGTACCCGAACTCGATAGCCTAATTCGGCATTCTTCAACCATTGGAGCTTCGAGAAACGCGATGGAATCGCTAATGGATCTCCGATGAGACCCTCGTTTTGATGATGAGAAGTCGAGGAATTCATCTACCCATGACGGGTTCTGATGGTGATTGACAGTAGTGGTTTCAATTTTTTGATGTGGTGAAAAATCAGGCCAATTTTTAATCATGTTTGGTACTCTAGGAGGTAATTGTGCCATTTTGGATTGAAATTGAAAGCCAAAGTAGTCCAAACTAGAAATGAGAATTGGATGTGTGATTTATATAGTGAAGGGAACATGGAATGTTTAGAAAAAAGAACATAAAAACTAGCACAAGGACATGGTGGTGATGATTATCAACATTATGATATACATATTGTTATTTTATTTTTTATTTTTAACCTATGGTTTTTTTTTCTATAAGTTTGGGGGTGGGGGTGGGGGGGTCACATGGGAAGATTGGGACAGCTATCTACAGCTGGTTAGAGAGGTTGAGTCTCAATGGTATTACTGGAAAGTAGCAGTAGTTTAATGTAGAGGAATCAGAAACCACGTGCCCTTGTGACCATGCCTTATAAAAAATTTATCGAAAATAATTTTTCTATTTTCTCAAAGTTGGAATAGGAAACCTCACTTGTGAATTACACCGAGTTTGTTTTTATTGTTGCACTAAATCAGTATAGTCTTTTAACATTGTCCTCTCTTTTTTAATAACTTGAATACAACCTATTGTTGCATAGGACCCATAAGATCTATAATAATTTTGTATGTTTTAAGGATTAGGCAGATGAAATTAAGGATATTCCGATCCGCCGTTATGAGGTTAGTGTAAGTGTTGAAAAATGAAAAAGTCTCGCATTGTTAGTTAATGAGATGGGCAATTTTCTTATATAAACTTGAACAATTCTTTCTTCAGTAATATCACAACTAAGTATTATTATCCCTCATTTCATATTATTTGATCTTTATTGACTTGACACATTCCTTCGGAGGAAAAAACATTCGACTGTAGTGTAAGTATGTACAAATAAATTGTCATACACGTGCTATTGAACACCGTCTGATTGAATTAGATGGTCAATGAGAGAGTTGCATGGGCATGATTGGGCACAAACTTGCACCAATTAATCCAAAAATAATCAATCAACACTTCACCATGTGAAAATCATCATGTCCCTCAGATTGTACAGTACCTCTGTCCTATACTTTCTGTAGAACGTGTTATCACTTTCAACTTGTCTTAAATAAATTTGACATAGTATATTGTCAGCCTCGTAAATTTTATTTAGATACTCAAATTATGAACAAAAGAAAATTGTTTGAATGGTACATTATTTATCTTCAATTTTAAGACTGTGGATTTTGAGTACTAGGAGCAAAAAAAATTAATGAAGGTGAAAGCTCCTCCGAGGGAGAGGTTACCAAAAAAAAGGGTAATCAAATTATGATTTGTTCCAATTAACCATTTTAATACATGATAAATATTACGATACAATTTTGGATTTTTTTTGCGCGTATTCTCAAGTGTCTTTTACATAGATAAGTTAATCATTTAAATTATGTTAACTTCTTTAATTATACGCATTCGCTTTAATAAGCTGTAAAATCTTAAGCATGTTTCATTTGTGTATAATTAAAAGAGATGACATGCTTTACATTGCACAAAGAAATTTCTAAAATTTGAACCGAAATAAAAATATTTTATCAAATGTTCAGATATTCTATTAGACAAATCATAATTTGAGTATCCTTTATTAGTTACTTGTTCACTTGCTAAATCAATATAAAATTATTATTTTTTAAAATCATTTTACCCCTACAATTGGGGAGCCTACACAAATTTAGAAATTCCAAAGATTTTTTTTCCTTCTAAAATTCATTAATTACTTTATATGTATTCCAATAATATCTATTCATATGTCTTATGCTATTAAGCATATTTTTGATAAATTATCTTGATGTTCATTAATATTGATAAGGGATAAACTGATAAAATTGACCATTTTATTCATAATTTTCATAATACCGTATAAAATGAAAAATGACCAATTAATATAAAATAGAGGAAGTATTATTTTACAGCACAGATTAAATTGCCTTCATACAAAATTCAAAAATCATTTTTGTCTATTAGATACCGGTATTATATTGCAGGGGAATTTTTCTTTAAAAGGAATGACCAACAGTGAAAAGACATGATATAATTTTCTATTTATAAGAGGACTTTTTTTTTTTTTTTTGTTTCCCACCCGATGTTCAAAGCCCATATTAGAGCTCCGACTAAATCCGGATCGCACTAGCGCTCCCAACAAGATTTTCTTCATACAAAGAGCTCGAACCCGAGACCTTTGATTAAGGGTGAAGCACTCTCACTAGTGCACCACAACCCATATGGGTATTTATTAGAGGACTCATTGCTTATAAAACATGTAAAATAAAACTGAAAACACAAGCATACTCACAATTGTATATATTTCTAAGAGGCCATGCTCGATCTTGTTGGTCTTGAGTGAAATTCAATTCTTTAATAAAACATTACCATATTAATAATACGATGATAATTGTTTTAAGATCATACAAATAGAAAAAAAACTTATTTTAAGAAATTAGCTTATGACGTAATGATTGTTCAAGTCTAATACACTCAACATTGAATATATATTTGAGCGTGAACAATATTACATGAGACCAAAAATTGGATAAATCAAGAATATTGTGTAGATCGAGCTAATAAAATTAGCTCATAAAAATATTACTTGTCCAGCCTATTAAGTTTGAGTGAACAATCCACTAATTACTCAGTTGAGCCCATATAAATGTTAAATTTATTTGAGCTAAATATACAGCTCAAATTATCTCAAGAAATCTGTTCAAAATAGTATACTTCTTTTTTGATATGTTAATATAACTATAATATAATAAAAAGAGAAAATAATTAGTTTTTGTTTTAAAAAATAAAACTTAATAAGAATAAAATGAGTTGAGTTGTGATCCAATTATTTAGTTCGTATGGCTAAATTTCAAACACGTTCGATTGAACTTTAGCCATATGCCCATGAACTTGACGCAAAACTGACTAAAGTCTGACAATAACGACTGAAGTTCAGGCAAAACAAGGTTGAACTTCAATCGTATGTGCCTAAAGTTATTTGAACTTCAAATTTAAATGCCTAACTCTCAGTTATATATATATATATATATATATATATATATATATATATATAAAGTTAAACTTTGTCAAACTAATACTAGACCGTGCATGTCCAAAGTTATTATTATGAAATAAATAAGCGTGCAAGAATTTTAAAATTTAATTAGGACATAACTTAAATAGTGACACCAAATACAAATATACATGCACGTCACCCTCTCAAATAACTCTGATTCATCTATTTATTAATTCAATCTATTCTAACTCAATTCAGCTCGATCCACACATATAACACTCTTAGCATTAAAATAACAACTCGAATCACAAAATTTTTTTTAGAGCATATGAGTAAACACTATCAAAAAATGATACAAGAAAAGAACATCTCATTGTATCAATCAATGTGGTGAGTGGTGACACTTGACAAAATGAGTATGAGGAGGAAAATGGATAGATATAGGGATAGGTGATATAGGTGCATGGGAGTAGAGGGAAGTGAGAATGTGGAAGATGAGCTGTGGGAGAAAAGGGAAAGGCACGTGAATGGTTTGTGCACAACCCTTTTCTTTCTTTTACTTTGTCTCCAAACTAACTTCACATGTAGGCCATCTCACCTTTTTCTCCCCACTATCCCCTTAATAATATATATATATATATATATGTAATCACCGTCAAACGATATGGTATAGTATATGAAGTTATAAGTACACCCTGAATCAGAGATTACAGATTTGAATATATGAAAAAGTTCTTGATAGGAAGTGTTTCCCACTAAATGAGGTTTTACATATCGTGAATTCGAAATAGTCGAGCTTTAATGCGTGTATTGGATTATTTATGTAATGTAGTTTGACATGAAACATAATTTTTAAGAAAGAAAGACAGACTTTTGAATTATGTGGTCTAAAATAAGTTATAGATAGTTGTGCGGCTATATGTCATTTCACTAAAAGTAAAATGATTATTTTGAAATTAAATTATGTGTCATTTTTTTAGGACTTGATTAAAAATGAAAGTCAGTCACGTAAACTTGGATGAAAGGTGTATGCAATTTTTCCATCTCCAATTTGGACTTTTTGTCATTTAATAATGTGAGGAGTTCACCAATCATTATGATTAACAAGAAAGTTAGTTTAAGGTTTGTACTTAAACCGACATTGTATTTTTAATAACAATTTGGTCGCCAACACTTCAAACTTTAAGCAACTGCTAATAAATGATTAAAGCATTTCCTTCTTAAATTGCATATGTTAAGATAGTTTAATAGTCAAGATCCTTTAATTCGAATCATGATTTGCTTCTTCACAAACTTATTTTTTGATTATATAATTCTAGTGTTTCAGGTTCATTATAGTCGATTTCATTTCATTTTAAAATAGATGATTAATTTTAAAATAATATGTGGAATCATCTAATTAATCAACTTGGACATTAAACCACCCAATGTTCAAGCTCTATATCTGTTAATAAGTTAGCAAAATCAATACAATATTAGAGCAATTTCCAGCATAGTTATCAAATCATAATGTTACGAGTTCAAATCACTATAAACTCTTGATTATTAGTACTGTCCAATTTAATTTTTTTTGCTCTTATGTTATGATGTGAAAAGAATTAAAAGTAAATAAAAATATAGGGATATTTAATTAGGGATTAGTGAGTCAATGTGATTAATGATTATGTTGCTCGGACTCTTCAAATATTACACATATATCGAATTCTCTACAAATGTAATATTTTTGAAAGATCTGACACATATACATCGCCATTTATAAAGAGTCTAGCAACATAAATTAATGGTTCAACTTAATCGAATATCCAATTGGATCGGATCTTTAATCTCACCTGAACTCAAGATTTTCTAGCATATGTTGGAATATTATTTGGCCCATTTGTGTCATTACTATAACACATAAAATAATAATAATAATAATAATAATAATAATAATATTGTTAACTGTAACTAGATCTTGATCTCTGCTAAACAGAAAATTGAAAAATAAATAAATGAATGTTAAACGAATCACAGTAAAAAAAATTAATTTCTTGTTGTCCTTACAATCTAATAAACCTTAATTAGTGTACTATGATATGTTCA